TTGCTGCACTGGGGATGGAAAGCAAGTATCATCCCAGTTTCCAGGGCAGATCAGTGGTGGCGGCTGTAAGAGGTGATGTCCTGAAAGGAATCTGGACTCACTGGCTTGCTGTGGGATCTTGACTGATTAATGATGTCTGCCATGGGTTCAGCAATATAGGTGGGGCCGTGAGTCAGTATTTGCCAATCATGGCTGGACTTTACAGCCCATGTCCCTTAACATCATGTCTGAGGCCTTCAAGATTGGGTCCCTGCCAGTGTCTCTTGCTTTATCTTCTCCCCTTTACTGTCTGACCCACCTCCAAAAAATAACTGTGTCTGTGTCTGCATTTAATTGACCACCTGTTGTCTTCAAAAATCCCCTTCGCTCATGTGGTTCCCTCTGCCTGTCAGGACCTTTATTACATTAAATTGGTCAGTTTTGCCTATTTATCTCTCAAACTTCAATCACAATTTTGTCTCCTCTTTGACGACATTCTCTTTGGTCCTCTTCGATGGGATTAATTAACCATTTCCTCCTCTGATATCCCATAGTTTCCCTGTTTAGATCTGTAACCTAACACTTAGCCTGTTTCACACACCGGTGCTTTTTTTTTTTTTTTTTTTTTTTTTAAATGACCGGTAAGGGGATGTTAACCCTTGGGCTTGGTGTTGTCAGCACCACGTTCAGCCAGTGAGCGAACCGGCCATCCCTATATAGGATCCGAACCCATGGCCTTGGTGTTATCAGCACCGCACTCTACCAAGTGAGCCACGGGCCGGCCCTCACACCGGTGCTTTTATGTCTCTTTTCTCTTCTACCTTGGGAGGGCCTCAAAGTCAAGGTCTGGGATTTGCTTATCTTTGCATACACAGACCAGAGCCCAGCCCAGATCAGAGCCTCGATAAATCTGTACTGAATGAACACATGAATGAATAGAAATCACACTGTCTTCCAAAGTCAGATAGAAACGATGTTTATAACTTTCCCAGCAGTCTGAGTTTGTATGTCAACACTGCTCAGCTGATTTACTGTTGTGGTAAAGTGACCCACACATTCCCCCAAGACTGAGCCCAGCTTCAAGTTGTGAGTGTGCATTTCTCCATTGTGATGGTCTCTTTTTCTTCCTTTCTCCCTTTGCTCTCAGCCTGAAGACAAGCAAAAGGCGGCGGCTGCCTTTGCCCAGCTCCAGGGTGCCATGGAGACACTGGGCATCTCAGAGAGCGAGCAGCAGGCCATTTGGCGGGTGTTGGCAGCCATCTACCACCTGGGCGCGGCAGGGGCCTGCAAAGGTACGTCCTTCCCGCTGAGCTGACCTGGCTCCAGCTGTCTCCTTTGGCAGGTGCCTGACAAAGCGCTTCTCTCGGTGAAGTGGGGACAGGGTCAATCTGTCATCCTCTGTGTCTCTGGGACTGCTCTTTGGGAGAAAGAAGGAAACAGGCCTGGATTTTTAAAGAAAACCTTCTAGATCAGTGCTATCCAGAACTTTCTGCAATAATGGAGATGTTCTCTATCTAGGGTGTCTAGTACAGTAGCCACTAGTTGCATGTGGCCATTGAGCACTTGAAATGTAGCTAGTATGGACTGAGGAATTGAATTTTTAATAGTATTTAATTTTAATTTTAATTTAAGTAACAATACGTAGCTAGTGGCTACTGTACTTGTCAGAGCAGCTCTAGAATATGTGAGAGAAGGTTGGGTTCAAGCAGTGAAGGTGCCGTATTTCTATCTAGACATCCTGGAGCTGATACCACCATATGTGATGAAACTGATCTTGCCATCCTTCTCCCCCATCTTAATTATCTGTTTGCTGATTGTCCCTACTTCAACCCGGTCTCCCAAGTGATTCCAACCATCCCTCCCCTCACCCTCTCCCTATCCAATCATTCATTTTGATTTGTATAGACTCTCTGTGACATTATTTCTGTCCTGGCTTGTCTATCCTTATTGTCATCCCTTGGACTAGGTGTTTGCCTTTTTCTTCTTTTGCTTGGACTGTTGCAGTAGCCACCTCGCCAGTGCCTTCACTCCTCCTTTTATCCATCCTCATAATGACTCAGGCTCCTTTCTGTAACAGACCCATTGTGCCATTCCCCTATTTAGGATCCTCCTGAGGCTCTCCCTCACCTGCTAAATCAAGTAAAATTCCTGGGCTTGGCATTCAAGGCTCCTTACCTCCCTAACCAGTCTCTTCTGCTATCTCTTTAAGATGTTCTGGGGAGAGAGTTGGGATCAAGAGCCCTGTGGCTCCTGCCTTCACGGGGCTTACATGGCCTAGCTCTTTCCAGTAGGGAGTGACTTCCTTTGGGCCCAGAACAGAGAGTTGGAACTTACTTGCCAAATGCCCACGTGTGTGAATTGAGGTCTGGGACTGTGTGTTGGCTCTGGCTGACATTCTGGGCCATTCCTCTGTGGGACGGCAGACTCCTAGAGAAGATGCTGGCACATCATTCTCACCATTCCCATATTTGTGAGCCCTGGGGCTCGTTCCTTTGATTCTAATTCATTTGAGCCACATGAATTGGCCTGCTGACTTGATTTTGGAAATTTCTAGAAGTCATGCTGAGTCAGAAGTAAGTAAGGTGGGAATTCCCAGTTGGTTCAAGCTGTGGACTGACATGCTTGGCTGGGCAAATATGAAAAAAAGCAAACACCACTTGCCTTTCCAGAAATCAGCCATGGGCCATGCTCGGCACCTGGGCTGTTTGGGCATTGCCACTGTTTTGCTCACGGGGCTGTGATGTCTCTGGCTGAGCTTCCTGGGGCCAATCAAATTGTGCACACCAGGGTGTGGGAAAACAGTTCCATCTCCAGCCTGAGGTGAGTTTCTCTTCCTGCAACACTAGTCACTGGTTAGGAACCCCCAGCTCTGCATCTGACTTCATCTATCCTAGGGGTTGGCAAACTATGGCTCGTGAGCCAAATCCGGCCCACTGCCTGCTTTTGTACAGCTTGTAGACTAAGACTAGTTTTTATGTTTCAGTTTGATGAAAAAGTGTCTATATCAATAATATTTCAGGGCACATGAAAATTATATGGTATTCAAATTATAGTTCCATAATTAAGGTTTTCTTGGAGCACGGCCACGTCCATTCATTTACTTGGCTGTGGCTGCTTTCCCTCTACAGGGACAGAGTTGCATAGTTGAGACAGAGATTTTAAGGCCTGCAAAGCTTAAAATAATTACTGCTTGGCCCTTTATAGAAAACTTTACAGTATACCATCCCCACAGAGGGTCACAGAGTTCAGGGGTGTGTGTGCCCCTGAACGGCCTAATTATGCTCTGAGAAAATTCCTCCATCCTTCTCAGATCCAGCCAAATCAGGAACAGGATGTCAGGATTCCAGCTCTGCCCCCATCTTACTGTGTGATCTTGAGCAAATCAGCTTCCTCTCTCTGATCTCCATTTTCTCACAGGTGAAATTCTAGAATTGGACCAGGTTAGAGGTTCTTAACCTGGTGTCTATGTAACCAAGGTTTTATGTATGGATTTCAGGGGGTGTATTAGTTTCCTAAGACTGTTCTAACAAATTATCACAAACTTGGTGGCTTAAAACAATAGTAATTTATTCCCTCTCACAGTTTTGGAGACCAGAAGTCTGTAATTAAGATGTCAGCAGGACCGTGCTCCCTGCAAAGGTCCTAGGGAAGGATCCTTTCTTGCTTCTCCCAGCTTCTGGTGGCTCCAGGTGTTCCTTGCCTTGTGACCACATCACTCTAGTCTCTGACTCTGTCTTCATGTGGCCTTTCTCTCTGTGTTTGCATCTTCTATCTCTAATAAGAACACTTGCCTTTGGATTTAGAGCCCATTTGGGTAATCTCAAATGGTCTCATCTTGAGGTCCTGAACTAATTACATCTGCAAAGACCCTTTTTTCAAATAAGGTCATATTTACAGATTCCAGGGGTTAGAACTTGAACATATCTTTTTGGGGGTACCATTGAACTCACTACAGGGAGTCATAATAGATCTTCAAGTGGCATGCCAAATTGTGTGTGGAGGTACATTTTTCTGGGGAGAGATGAAATATACAGCTTTCACCAAAGGGATACTTGACCCCTAAAAGTTTAGGAACTACCAAAATCCATGGTATCTAAAGCCCATTCTAGATACACCTGCCTGGAATTTTGGTTTCCCCTTTCACTTAATTATAGCATTTTAAATCTAGAAAGAGCCTCAGGGAAGTGTGATGGATTACTTAAGATATACTACTACTACTGCCACTACTAATAAAATAGTAATAGTAATCACAATAAACACAATGACAGCCAGCATTTATTTAGCACTGACTAGTCACTAGGCATTGTTCTAGTCATTTTATATGTATTCACTCATGAAATTCTCACAATATTTCAAGAGGTGGGTGCTATTGTTATCCCATTTTATATAAGAGGAAAGTAGGGCAAAGAGAGGTTGAATGACTTGCCCAAGGTTTCACAGCTAGGAATTGACAGATCTGAACTCTGAGAGTCTAGCTCCAGAATCCAATCTCATAACATTGCAGGAGTAGGTGGTGAGAGGAGGAGGAGCCACCTAGGTTTTACATGATTAGTTTTTGCTCTAGATCTCCTCTGAGCACAGGGCCCTTTTCACACAACTCAAAGGTGGAAGTTTTCCCTTTTTCATGAGGCTGTGGGCTAGCTAGGCTGAAAGGTTCCTCTCAAACCCTCTACACCCTGGAGATCTTGATTTCCATGTGGGGAAGGACAGACAGGGGCTTGTCTTACAGATTCCGTGGCCATTGCTGAGGTTCAGAAAGGACTATGAAGGTACCAGTACCAGGGAGAGAGCATTTGATTGGCCCAGCTGGGATCTGAACTCTGAAAGTCTAGTCATGCTTGGGTCACATGACTATTTCCTTGGCCCCGATAGGCTGGGGCTTCTTGACTGACAGCCCCACCAAAGCTACACTCCAGGAGGAGAGTTTCTTCCCAGAAGTCTCAGGTCACTATCTTGGTCTTCTACAAACTCTAAAGTAGTGTGTCTTTCTGTACGTATCTCCAGGAGAAGCAGAATTTTTATTTTCAGCATGGGTTTCTGAGTGTGGAGACTAAGTTGATTTCCCTTGATCATACAAGCTATAAGGAGTCACCTCATAGAGGCAGAAGTGTGAGAAAATGGCAAACCGGGGCCAGGAAACTAAGTTTCTTATTTCACACCATCTACCTTAGCTGAGGACTTCTGACAATCTTGCCACTGTCAAGCCTTTTCACAAGAGCCATCCCCAATCCCTTAGATGAGTCAACAGCGACTTGTGCTGAGACTTGTGCTGGATAGAGGAAGGAATGTGAGAAGCTGTGAGGATGTTGGCCCTTCTTGTGAATTCTCCATTTATTTGGAGAGACGAGACTTCTAAACCCAAAACCATCAGGTAGCTTTGTTAGCTGCTTGAGATTGGGGCTGTGATTGCATAGCCCAAACCAGTAAAGCCGTGACAGTTCAGAGGTGGGGCACAGACATCTATGCTTAGGGGATGTGTGGGAGGAAGCAAACCTATTTTACAGAATGGTAAACTGAGGTTCTGAAGGTCTAGGTGCACCAAGTACAGGATGTGGGCTCTTCAGTGAGGTAGATTTGGGTTTAAAACAGAACTTCTCCGAACTTCAGTATCCTCTTCTTTCAATGGGCTAAGAGTAGGGTTGATGTGAGGATCAAATGGGATTAAAAAAGAGGAAGCTGATTTAGGCTGGGTTCCCCCAGAAGCAGCCCTGAGACAAAGATTTGGGGGCATGTGGCTTATATGGAAGGGGATCCCAGGAGCCACCCGCAGGGGAAGTGAGAAGTGAGCCAGGGAAGGAAAGGATGTGTTAGGAGCAGCTCGCCTCTGGGCAATTGAGGCTCAGCCCCACTGGTGACCTCTGGGAGACCTTGAGGAACATGCTTCCTCATCGTCTTACCCAAAAGGCAGGATGCTAGGATATTGATCCAGGGACTCAGGAAGCCCCCTGGCCTATTGGTGTGTCACCAGAGAAGTGAAGCAGCTCCATTTGATTTCTGAGTTTCTCCTCCTGGAGGAGGTGGGCGCCCCCTGTGATGTGAGCTCAGGGATGTAAATGCCTGTGACGATAAAAGAGAAAGTCACTTTTATAAATATTTTATTAATACATGATTATGGCAATAATTTCTCCCAGCCCTCCTCCCACCCTACCTAATAAATTATTTTAAGAAGAGATGCTGTCAGTCTGCCTGGGAGACCTGCCCAATGATTTACTTACTGTATATTATGCTTTGGAAGATTTCATAATAGGTTGCTTTAAAATCAGCTATTAAGAATTTCTAAGTCGTATATAAA